AGTGAGAAGGGTCAAATTGTGGCTGCTGGGGTGGGTGAGCCCCTGTCCCAGCCTGCCCAGAGAGGTGGTGGCTGCCCCATCCCTGGAACCATTCCAGGTGAGGTTGGCCGGGGCTCTGAGCAACCTGCTCTAGCTGCAGATGTCCCTGCTCAGGGCAGGGGGTTGGACTGGATGGCCTGAAAAGTCCCTTCCAACCTAAGCCAGTTTATGATTCTAAACTGAGCTCATCTATGGCCTTGGGCCTGAGGTTTCTGTAGTTTGTTGCTCTCAGTCTAGAAGAACATCTGCTGAAAACACCATCTCCCCAGCACTGCTGGTGGTTTGGGAGGGGAAGTTCCCACTCCTGGCAGCAGAGGGCAGGTGCTTGTGCTGGGCTCAGGCTGGGTCCTGCTGTGCTGCTCACAGCGGGTTTCTCCTCCTCCTCTCCCCCAGCAAGGTGCTGACCTCAGGCTGGGTAAATTCTGCTTCTTGCCCTTTCCTCCATTTCCTCCTCAACTGGCCCCATCCTGCAGCCCCTGCCCCCAGCAGAGGGTGGGTTCCTGGCCCTGCTCTTCTCCCACAGGCCCTGCAGTGCTCCTCCCACCCTCCCTGCTCTGACTTTCCATCCCCAGGGGCTCCTTTCTCAGGTCCTGTCCCACCTGCAGTCCCCACCTCTCTGACAGCAGTCACTGAATGGCAGCAGCCTTCAGCAGTGCTGACTTTCTGTGGTGCTCTGCTAGAAAACAACACAGTTAATGCTTAATGCCCTCGAGGAGCATGGGCAGAGCCCAGGAACTGCTGCCCCAGCCCCAGGGGGGGTGGAAGCTGCACAGAAACCCATCAAGTCTGTCTTTCATTGTGAGAGCAGGCAGCCTGACACCAACCTTATTTTTTGGGGGTAAAGCTGGCAGAAAAGGGCCTGTCAGCTCCTGCCAGCAGATTCAGGGGTGAGGAAGATGTTTGTGTTCAATCATCTCTCATCTGTAATGTTTTGTAGGATACCGACTTGTCGAGGAATATTCCTGGTAAAGTGAAAGTGTCAGCACCTCACCTCCTGAACAGGAAGAAGAAGTGATCCACCACCAAACTGCCACGGCTGGGAGCCAGCACCTGGGATGGATGGACAGACAGACCTACCTGGGCTGCTGCTGCTGGGACTCAGCTTAGCTTCTGTGGCAGCAGCCAGAGGACTGCTTCCCACAGTGTGGTTTTAGATGGACTCTAACTAAACTTGACCCAAATCACATGAAGTGGTGCCAAGCCCATCGCTGGTCTGGGGTCAGGGACGTGACCTCGGGTGGTTCCCCTCCTGGGGGGGCAAAGCCTCAACCTCCCACAACAGAACCCCTGCTCAGCTTCTTCCCAGCCTGTCCTGCCCTCCTCCCAAGGGACTGGAGCTTGTAGCAGGGGGATTTCAGGGCAAAATGCTTCGGTTGAGGGAAAGGGAGAGTTTTGTTTTCCCCAGACTGTGCCAGGAAGGTGGGAGGTGCAGTCCCTGCTGCCAACCCCCTCCCCCCAGCACGGCCCCGGGGGGCTGCACAGGGCTTGCCCCTCTGGAGGTGAGGAGCTGGGGCTGGAGGGTCAGGACACCCCCCTGGAGATGTGAGACCACAGCTTGCTCTGAGGGCCTGCACCCCTCCCTTGGAGCTTCCACAAGAACCCAGTGCAGGAATTACAGGACAGGCAGTAGTTGGTTCTAGAAGTCAAAGGTTTTAATTATTTTTTGTTTGAGGACAGCTTAAACATGATTTCAGCCCCTCCCACAGCAGTGGGGCCCATTCCATGTCCCCTCTGGGGCTGCTGGCCTGTCCCACAGGCACCCCCAGCTGCCCCCCACCCCAGAGGTGAGCTCCACAGAGCCAGGAACAGGCTCAAACGCCTCAGGGCAGGATCTCTGCTCCCCAAAATTCACAACTGGAGTCCCATAACACCCAACCCAACCCCAGCCAGGCTGGGAGCAGCGGGGCTCTGACATCCCATGGGGCGGGGCAGGGCGGGGGGGGGTGACCAACAATGTACAACTTCCCCCCCACCCCCTTCTCCCACCTTCAGGGTGCTGGGGCAGAAGGTTGTGCAGGGGTTGCCCTGGTGCTGGGGACACCCCAGGACAGCACCCCCAGCTCCAGCCTACACCCCAGCAACACTCCTCTCCCCCTGGGGCTGCCCCTCGCCCCTCCTCCGAGGTGGACAAACCCAAAACTAGTTTCAGCTTCAAGCAGGGGGGCTCCAACTCCACCTGCCTTAAACACATTTATTGCCAACATCTCGACACAAAAATAGGTTCTCTCTAGGCCATTCACATGCAACGTAAAGGCAAGAAGCAGCTACCTACACGGGGACTGGAGGCCAGCAGGGGCCGCTGCCAGGCCGGGCAGCAGTGCCACCTCCCGGCCTCAGGAGCCCGAGGTGTTGTTGCTGTCGAAGCGCTGGTTGACGCTGTGCAGCAAGTGCTTGGGGAGGCAGTTCCAGGAACTGGCCAACATCTCCTTGAAGCAGATGACAGCTTCAAGGCAGAGCCTGGGGGAGAGGGAAGAGGCGGCTGCCCGGAGCTCTGCGGCCAGGGAGGGAGCTCCCCAAAGCTCCTGGCTCTGGGATCCCCCAGCTGCTCCTCCAGAGGAAGAGGTTTTCAAGTGTTTTAGGGATCTGAGGGGCCTGGTGGTAACCCTGTACCACTTGGGTTAGGTGGAGAGGTGATGGTTTGGTTACAGAATCGTGGCTCTGGGTGGGGAGGGGTCTTTAAAGGGTCAAGTTTTGGTTTCTTACCTTACGAGAGATCTTGGTTGTAGAGAAAACACAAGGATTTCATTACTGTGAGCCTGGGGGGACAGAGAGAAACAGTTTGTGACGTGGAGTCACAGAACCACAGGGTGGTTTGGGTGGGAAGGGCCCTTTCAAGGCCATCCAGTCCAACCCCCTGCCCTGAGCAGGGACATCTGCAGCTAGAGCAGGTTGCTCAGAGCCCCGGCCAACCTCACCTGGGATGGTTCCAGGGATGGGGCAGCCACCACCTCTCTGGGCAGCCTGGGCCAGGGGCTCACCACCCTCAGTGACAAATATTTCTCCGTTCTCGCCTAGTCTGAATCTCCCTGTTTTAGTTTAAACCCATCTTGTCCTGTCCCAACAGACCCTGCTAAAAGTTCTGTCCCCAGCTTTTTTCTAGGTTCCCTGGAAGTACTGGAAGGCCACCAGAAGGGCCCCCTGGAGCCTTCTCTTCTCCAGGCTGAACAGAGGATCTCTGGACATGGGGACTGTGTTAGGCTCAGCACTCAGTGGGGTTGAGGGTTTTAAAATGGTTTCACCTTCTCCTGGGACTCCCATCGAGCCACCAGCTGCTGGTGCCCAGAGCAGTGTTGCAGCACTCTGGTTGGCACTCGCCCGTGCCAGCTGACACCCACTGGTCCTTGGCTGGGGAAGGTGCTGACAGACTCGTTCCCAGCCTCCTTCTCCAGCCAACTGCTGCTTTGCCAGCCCTTGGGACACCCCTGGCCTGGCTGAAGAGCCCCTCTCTGTTCACTGGAACTGCTTTGGGAGGGGCTCCCTGAAGACACCCCCGTAAGAAGCACAGGGCAAAGGTAAAGAAGTAGGTGGGAGGTAACAGGCTCCAAATAAGTTGTCGTGTGTTTAAATAACAAACAATGACCTGGTTTTTAGAAAAACAACAAAATATTTCCCCTCCAAGCTTTTGTTTATGCCCCATGGTCAGTCCTCACAAGCTCAAGCTGCTGTCTATGAGCTTTTCACACTTGCTGGAGGGCTAAAACACCCCAAGGGTTGGGCTGCATGGGAAGGGAAAGCTCAAAACCATAAAAATCATTAAGTTTGGAACACCTCTACAATCACCAAGCCCAACTATCAACCCAACACGACCACTAAACCACGTCCCAAACCGCCACCTCTACAGGATTTTTGAACCTCTCCAGGGATGGTGACTCCACCAACTCCCTGGGGATCCTGTTCCAACACCTCCCTGGGCAACTTACAGCTTTAGAATGGGCAAGCAGGTTGTTGGCACAGCCCCCGAAGACAATCACCTCGCCCTCTTCGCTTGCACAAGCTGTGTGCCACAACCTAGAAACACAAGTCAGTGTTGTGTTAAACCTCCCCTCCAAAAAAAAAGACAGTTTAGGAGCATGGTTTTAAGGTGAGACAAAGAAATTTGCCCTTCCCATGGGATTTGGGTGGTAGAGCTGTGAGCAGATCGTTGCAGCCATCCTCCAGAAGCGACGACAGTCGCTTCTGGAGGATGGCTGCAATGATTTGCTCACCCAAATTTTCATTTTAGGTCATCTTTTCTAATTTACACAGGCATTAAATCCTCCCTCCCCTCTTTTTCTTTTAAAGAATTTCCAAGGAAGCCTCTCCATACCTGGGTTTTTCTGAGTAGTTGTGCTCAAACTGTATCCACTCGTTCTTGCTGATACAATAAATCCAAGCATCACCTAAAACCAAACAAAACCCCAAAGAGAAACAGTCTTCTGAGAGGTCTTCCAGCTTCCCTGCACTAAATACCAGGAAGTTTTGGTGTGTAAATCAAGTATTTTAGGCAAAATCTTATATAGAATCATAGAATCATTTGGGTTAGAAAAGACTGTTAAAGATTGAGTCCAACTGTTGAGCCAGCACTATGTTGGGTGGGCTGTTTGGAAATGTGGGAGTGAAGTGAGAAGGGAAAGATGGACTAAAACTCTTCATAACCACAGTTTCCATGTTTTTAGAGCAGATTAATTCCTCTAAATTTCTATAAATAACACCTTTTCAGCACACTGAAGTGACTCCTGCTCGCTGAAATTGGCCGTTGACCCTCAGGAGCTGGACCACAAGGGCAGGGAAGGGATGTGGCAAGAATCTGAGGTGCTAATCCCAAATTCTGTGCACAACTGCTCGAAAACACACCCAAAAAGAACCCAAAAAAATCCTTTTGGGAGGACTTACTCAAGGGCTGCTTGTCTGTGGTGAATCCTCCAAAGAGAAAGAGGTGATCTGAGGAGATGGGTGTTAGGGAATGCCACGACCTGCCCACGGGGCAGACGCCTTGGGGGAGTCTGTGTTGGAAGAGAAGCACCAGGAATCACAGCAGGGCCACGACAAAACCCCCCAGGTCTGGAGGAGAATTAAACCCCAAGCACTCCAGTTTCAGCACCTACATTTCGTTCCACTCCCACGTGTCCAGGTTCAGGTAGTAGAGGTCGTTCATCCGGGACTCCTAGGGGAGAGCAGAGGGGGGCTGAAG